ATGGCCTTCTGCTTAATTATATGGTAGGGAAAAAAAAAGAAAAAAGAAATAGAAAATAAAAATATAAGAAAAAGATAAAAATATGTTATAAAAAAAATATTGTGGAGCATTTGTGAAAAAAAAAACAATTCAAAAATATTTATCTCATTTCATTTAATTCAAAATTGCATTTAATTTGGAAATGAATTTATGTCTTTCTTGATTTTGTAATCCAATTCTAGAGCTATTCCTTTGATGTTATAGCTTCTAAAGTGTACCCTAATTTTTGTTTGTCTATTTTCTTGTAATTCTTTGAATTTTGTCACACTTAATTTCATTTGAGTTTACCTTATTTTAATTGTGTTTTTATTGTTTGTCTTCTAAAATTTCTTCTATTGTTATTTTTGGCGTGCAAATTTCTTTGGGAAGGTAATTAAGACACTTGTCACAAGGTAGCATATTGGAATGTTGATAAAGGCTTAGGAGGATTTGCTTCTTGGTTGACACTATCTCTTGGGAGAGCTTGAGTACCAAACACTTTGGAGAGGAGAGAAAATACTATAATATCACCTATACTAATAAATTTGTTCATTGTGTAGAAGAAGACTTAGAAGAACTGTTGCATTCTTTTATTTCCAGTTTTTAATCATTTTCTTGTAAAGGTCTTTTACTTGGAAATGGTTTTGAGAGTTTCTAATTATCTACTTAAAACTTCCAATTTGTTTGTTATTTTTGTTTAGTAATTGATTAGTGCTTGTGAGAAAGTGTGTTAGGAGACTCATAAGTGTCCACCCAAACTTTCAATTATGAACACATTTAGATTACATCCTTTATTTTTCTTTATTATTTCCTTTTAATTTCTTGTCAAATGTTAGAATGTTTAAGAGGTTCTAAACACTTCTTAAAACACATTAGGTTTCATTTCGCTTAGACTAGCAAAAAATATTTTTTCTAACAAATTGCATCATGCCTAGGGACACTTCACTCATTTCTCAAAGTGATAGTGACTATAGTTCACCTTTAAACCTTGAAAAACTCATAGGTGAACTGAAGACACTTGAGCTTTGGAGAAAAGAACAAATGTTAGAAAATGAAGGAATAAGGTAGAAATGGAAGAGATAGAAACGTATCTAGAGCAAGAACTTAGAAAGTTTAAAGAAAGGCAAACACTTCTAGAGAATAAACAAAAGAAAAATCATGGTAGTAACTCATATAGTAGTGGCTCTTCCAAGAGCCCTAGCTTGAGTCATCATGATAGTATCCATATGAGTAACTGCTACAAATATGAGCTTGGAAATCATAGACCCAAAAGGGAACATAGAAGGGAATCCAAGGTGGATCTCCCTCAGTTTCATGATAAGGATGATGTAGAGACTTATTTAGATTGGGAGATGAGAGTGGAATAACTTTTTGTTTGCAACCAAGTGAATGAAGAGAAAAAGGTTCCACAAACAACCTTTAGCTTCTAAGGATATGTTATGTCTTGGTTGACCTCCATAGAAAGAGAGAGAGAGAGAGAGAAAGGATTCGTATTGAGTATAGTGCTAAATATTGGAGTGACCTTGAGAATGTTATAAGGAGAAGGGACATACTCTCATACTATGATAAAGAGCTTATGGATAGACTCCAAAGACTTCATAAAACACACACAGGTATATATGAATATAACAAAATATGGAGTTATACATTATGAGAGTAGGAATAAGGGAGAAGGAGAGAATCACCATTGTTAGGTTTCTTAGTAGCTTGAGCATAGTGATAAGAGAAAAAGTTAAGCTCTTGTCATATAAGGACCTTAATGACTTGATCCAATTATGCATTAAAGTTGAGTAATAATTGTTGAGAAAAACATCTCACAAGAAAGATTCCTCATCATCATCTTCACATCATAGGAAAGACCATTAAGAAGAGAAATACTCTTTTAAGAGTTACTATAAGGGTGAATCATCTATAGAAAAATATGAGAAAAACAAACTCTTACATCAAACACAAGTTCCTAACACTAGTTTTAAGACTAGTAGAATTAAGTACTTTAATAGTGTGTTTGGATGGAGAATTTACATGGAGTAATTCATTTATTTGAAGAATTTTAATTTCTTTGAGGTAAAATACCTTGTTTGGATGAGGAATTTATAAGGAATTTGAAATTCAAGCATTTGTGAAATTCCTTGAAATAGTAGAATTTCAAATTCTCCCAAAAGAGTAAGAATTTGAAATTCCTCATACTTTTATCTTCTTATTTCACTTATATATTTTATCTTATCTCTTATCTCTTCATGTTTTTAATTATTGAATATTCAAAAATATATTTAAAATTATTAAATATTATCTACTATTAATTTTTAAAATTATTAAATATTTAAAAATTAGCTAATATTTATTTTTTTAAAATTTAATTTAAAAATCTCAACATATAAATATATTTTTAAAATCAATTTTATCATGGTGGAATCAAATTATCATATCCAACCTAACAATTTAAAATTTGAGAAATTTGAATTGACTTATCCAAACAAAATATTTTAACAATGATAGAAATTGAAATCAAAGTAATTCAAATACCAAGAATTTAAAATTCCTTGAATTTGTAAAATTCTTCATCCAAACACACCATAAGTGTTTTTTGGGAAATGTCATATTATCTCTCAATGCCTATTAAAAGACTGATCATGAAGGACTTAGAGCACTATAGTAGTCAAGATAAGAGTACATCTTCTTCCTTCACCTCTAGTGAAACTGAAGAAAAAGGGAAAAAAAATTCAAAGATAGAGAATATTTATCTTTATGATGATGATCTCTTATTAATTAGTACATAAAATTTAATTAATACATTTATGACACAACATTAAACAAATTAATACCATGAACTAAAAATATTAAAAAATAAATATAAAGATTAAAAATATCTATTTTAAATTAAAAAATAAAACTAGATACAGTTAAAACAAGTATTTTAATCTATTTTTATTTTCTAAATTATTTTATTTAAGTAAAAGTATAAATCAATGGTTTAAGATTTATGCAGTTGAATTATGATCTGCAGAAGATGTTAAATCCCATTATCAATGTACACGTGGCAAATTGGCATTTCGTGATGATCAAATGTAACCCTCGCGCGTGTCAGCACGCCTCTCCCAGTTTCCACACGCTCCAAGTTTCTAGTGGTTCGTGAGTGACGCGCGCCATAACGAGGGTGGGTGAAGTGAGGTCATCCACAGGCACAATTTTCTAAACAAAGCAAAATAAAAAAATACTTATCGGGAGCTGTGATCCCCTGCGTCGCCGCCACCATTCCTGATGTTCCTCATTTGTCTCTTCTGTGTGGGACCCGCGTGATTCAACGGCTACGACCTACGACCGGCTGTATTGAATCAAAACCCCAATGCGAAGAGCAATGTTTTAAAAAACAAAAAGTAGTTTCTATGATACGATACCAATGCGATAACCAGTGGTGAAAGATCTGTGTGTGGGTTCGTCGTGAAAAAAGGGAATCGTAGATCCGTGTATTTGTTTGTATAGTTTCTTTTCTTCTTTTTTTTTTATCAGATAAGAGAAGAGAAGCGATGGGGTTGTGGGAATCTTTTCTCAATTGGCTTCGCAGGTTAGCTTGAGACTGAACAAATTACAATGCTGCTGCTCTTTATTTATTTATTGGTTTTAAACTCGGAATTAATTGAATGTTTATAAAAACCGATTGTGGATTTTAAGGTTTTAGTGTGATCATGTATGTCTAAGATGTTCAGTGCCCCCAAAATAGTTTCTCTATGTTACTGAATAGATGATAATTCTAGGCATGTTTGTTTCCGTAATGAGATATATGGGAGAAAATCCAATTTTGCTAACACATTTTAAATCTTTAAAATGGAGGAATTGGTAAATTCTTGTATGAAACTTGTTTGGGATTGTATTAGTTTTAGAATTTAATTCAATCAGAAAATTTTTGTCTAATGATTGTATTAGTTCCCAAACTTTGGATTAGTGATATGAGCTGCTGTTCTGCATAGGTAATCCGTGAACTTCTGATTAAGTGTTTGCTGAATTTTTTTAACGGCTATTGTTTGCGCTAAACGTGCTTCTCTTTTTATGACACGACTTTTTAAGTGTTAGGTTGTACCTAAGAAGCTGAATTTTGTGTGTGCTTTTTATGTGGATGATTGGTCCGTGCTTAGAGGGTTACATTCTCCAAAATAGCTCACTGCATTGTAAAAATTTGATTGCAGCCTTTTTTTCAAGCAGGAAATGGAATTATCTCTGATCGGACTTCAGAATGCTGGAAAGACTTCACTTGTAAATGTTATTGCTGTAAGTATGAAAATCATATTGGCACTATCTTTGTAACTCATCTTGATTAGACTGATTCACTGAGATATTTCCCTGATATTGTTTCTAGACGGGCGGGTATAGCGAGGACATGATTCCTACAGTAAGTGTTATTTGCCAAATGCTTTCGGTTACAGCTTTCTCTTTGATTTACTACATGAACTTTTGTGCTTATCAAGCGCCCTAATTTTCTGATCAATCTATTTGTCATCTGATTCCAGGTGGGATTCAATATGAGGAAAGTAACAAAAGGCAATGTTACAATAAAGTTATGGGATCTTGGAGGGCAACCTAGGTTCCGCAGCATGTGGGAACGTTATTGTCGTGCAGTTTCTGCTATTGTGTATGGATCAAACTTCTCATTTTAAAATTTCTTCCTTCTCTCCCAGTGTTGCACTGATACATGCAATGAGACACATACGTAACTGATAAATGTAAAGTCTACTAGTGTATATTTGTACATTTTGTATTGTTGATTTGTCAATATATGCATGTTCGATGTTTTCCATATATATTAATATCTGGAAAGACCATATCACCATAATAGAGTTTCTGATCAAATTACAGTTGTTTGTTTGGTCTTCATAATAGTTTCATAACCAGTAGATTTTATCCTTTTTAAGACCGGCAAGTTGTTCTATTACCTCCATGAGCCCAAACATATATTTTAGCAGCGAACTTGGTGCAATTCCACTTATGAATTAGGTGCCCGTGTCAAGATCTCTTTCCTGGTGTACTATTTAATTGAAAGATTCTTGTCTGTACCTGAAAAGAAAGGGGAAAGTGCTGGAGATTTTGTCTGTACAAGTTGATTTTTAGTTTTTACTAATGACTCTACAAACCATGTGTCATAATAAAGTTTATTTATTAATTAATATTGCTTATTGTGGCTAGAGCAGTTGGTAGTTTTGTACAGCCAGGAAGTGACTATAACTCTTTGAAACTTGGTCATGTCTCTAGACTGATTGTCCTACACTGAATGAGTTCTATGATTCCACAAATTAAATCTTTCAATGTATGCTTTACTGCTTCCAGTTATTAAAGGCTTGGTTTGCTATATTACAATGCAGTTTTCCTTGTTATTCAAAAGTGATGCTGCTGCTGAATATGTCTTCCTCTTCGATCTTTTGCAGTTGTGTGATTGGATCATGTAGTTGTTGCTAAAATTTCTTGGAATTGACACCTTTTCTCCTTCTGCAGTTATGTTGTTGACGCTGCAGATCCAGATAATCATAGCACATCAAAGAGTGAACTACATGATTTGTTGAGTAAGCCATCATTGAGTGGTATTCCTTTGTTGGTGTTGGGGAACAAGATTGATAAATCAGGAGCTCTGTCTAAACAAGCTTTGACTGACCAAATGTAAGATATATCTTTCTTGCCAACTTGGAGCAATAACGAAGTAAACTAACACTAAAAAGCTTCAGTATTGAATTGATTCGAGTATTACATGTTCTTCTATTTCTTATTCTACTTTTACTTTTATATTGCTTCGTGCTAAAAGAGCTATCTGGTATGCAGGGATCTGAAGTCAATTGCTGACAGAGAAGTTTGCTGCTTCATGATCTCGTGCAAAAACTCGACCAACATAGATTCTGTTATTGATTGGCTTGTCAAGCACTCCAAATCAAAGAGCTAAGAGGCTCCTTTATTTTTTGTATTCTAAAGTAATTTCTCAGTGACATATATCTGGAAGTTGCTGTAGGCATCTGCATGCCTAACTTGATTGCACATTAGTTGATTCTTGCCCTCTTCTTATTTGCTTAATGTAATATCATTCTTGTCCAATGGGGTATCAGACAAGATGGAGTTCATGTCAAGGGTTGTTTTATGAGTGAATCATATTGCCATTGTCAGTTTAGTTGCATCTTTAGAATACTGACAGCACTGCAGTCTGTGTCTTTGTAAATTAAATTATATTTTTTCTACTGATCAGCAATATGTGATCTTGTTATTTCTTGAAGTGGAGTCTGTCAAACACAAATAAATTGAGTTGGATTCTTTTGTCATTTCGTTGTGTTTGAAGTTTTTGATTCTTCCATTTTACAACAATTCAACAAAACAGATAAAGATAAACTCACAGTTTTTACTTTTTAGATTAAAAAAAAAAATTAACTATAGTTATTCCTCTAGTCACGACTTTATACTTGTTAGAATTTACAAGACCTTGCTGATAAAGTTCATATAATGAAACTGTTCTCTATATGAACTTACAAATTATATGCATAAAAGGCGTTAAGTTAAATTTACTCTAGAAGCAGCATATATTTATTTATTTGTTTTACATATCATTATACAAAAATTGCAAAATAAATCTTAGTTTTATTTGTCTAGAAAGCCATGCATATATTACGTCATTCATAAATCATAATATATGCTATTTTAAAGTTTTTATAGACATTGAAGAGTCGAGCATCATATGTTCATAGCATTATCATAAACTTACTACTCTCCAGTTCCCACACAAATTTACGTTTGAAAATCCCAATTTAGCTATTACATATTCAAATCATAGAAACCTAGAACTTATAGTTCAATAGAGTTATTTCATACATTTTTTTTCGGAATAAAAAACCCGTTAAAAGGAAGGCCAAAAAAGAATAAATAAGAAAGAAAGCACATATTCAAATCAATCTCATTGTTCAAATGAAAAGTCAGTTGATGGATTAATCTCATTATTTTTATCTTTTTACAGTATTTGTCATTAAATAAAATCCTTTATAAAACTAGTCTGCTAAAAACCTTCTCTGCTATCACTTTAATATTTTATTTATTTCTTTAGGAAATTAAAACAACTTTGTGATAAGGTCTTGAAAAATAAATAACCTAAAAAGGCAGGAAAAAAATTGAGCGTAATTTCTATACGCAAACTTATATTTTCAACAATTATTATTTATATAATTTTAAATTAATTACTTTTTTGACAACATTAAATTAATTATTGTAAAAATTAACAAAATCATCATATATTGGTATTTTTTTTTACACAATTAATACATATTATTTACTTCAGTAACAAATTTTGCAATATTTTTTTAAAGAGACAATGTGATGGAACTAGAAGCATTTATTAAAACATAAATATCAAAAATGACATGAGGAGCATCTGACAGTAACATGTTTTGTTGGTTCATCTTATACCCAACCTATATTTATCAAGTACAAATTATACTAGAGTTAATTTATTAGTTAAAAAAAATAGAATAATTAGAAGCATTAGGCTCGATACACATTAGAACAATATTTATAATTTTCTTTTGTCTTTATCAAATTTTTTTTTACGAGGGATTCATATAAAATAAGTTTGAATAGATTTATTTTACTTGATAATTCATATTTTATGTTAAATTTTAATGATTTAATTATTAAATTTAAAAAATATAATATAAATTAAATTTATAAATTTTTTAAAATTTTAGAAACTATTTAAAATTTATTATATGGATTAAAATTAATTATAAAATATTTTTATAATTATGGTCAATTTAAAATTAATAAAATAAAATATTAAATATTTTTGAAATATTTAAAAAATTGTAAATTTATTTATAAATCAAAAAAAAAAATGAATGATATGAAAAGTTTACTAGATGATATCGTACTTTATATATGGAGAACATAATATATTTTTCTTAGCATTCCCGTTGGTCTGATATTATCGGGTAACCGTGGCCTAACACTGAAAAGTTCAAGTTGCACTCACCTTGCGGCCATGGAAACTCTCTGCCTGCAGGCTCACCCCGTGGCCCAATTCCGACCTGACACCGACAAAATCCGACGCAAACTCGTCGAAAAGGGCGTCCATCCCACACCGAAGATCGTTCACACTCTCCGCAAGAAGGAAATCCAAAAGCACAATCGAAAACTCAAGTCCCAACCCCCTCCCCCCCTCACCCCGGCCCAGACCCAAGCCTTGTCCGAAGAGCAACACTTCCGCACCCTCAAACGCGAATTCACGAGAGTGATGAAAGCCACCGCCAGCCACGACGGCGCTCGCGTCATGG